GAGAGCTCCTGCTATGGGTGGTATAGAAATAAAATACAATCCTTCCTGACCTTTTATTTCAGGATGCCTTCCTGAGCTAACCAGCCACAGTTTTACTGATTCCATTTTTAACATATTGCTTAATCCTGTTTTACCTTTTAAGGTGCAGTACCCCAGAAGTTCCATGCTGGAATATAAGTAGCATATACTTTTTGTAAAAAAAATAAAATAAACAAGGATTGAAATACTCATTCTGATGGTGCAATTGCTAGTATTACGTCATATGTGCAAGATCCAAACAAGCATTGGCTTGCTTCTGCAACACACACCTCTGATAAATGAGTAACAGAGAAGCAGGTTAGAGAATCACTTGGGAGTACATAATCATAAAAACATAATGAATGAAATTATAAAGACATAATTTCAGTGATGCACATAAGATAATAAAATGGCCCATATATACAATAAACACCTACTTTAGTAAAAACAAAATATAAACCAAGATAGTTGTGCTGTTCCATAAGAAAAATATACCATCCTCTACTGCAAGGCATTCAAGTAGCTTCTGGAGCCTGCTAGCTGCTAACAGGTCTGAATATTTTCCCCCTTTCTTCTTCTTTTTACAGTTCTTATTTTATATTTTTAACCAGTTTAATATGTAATTTAAAATTTTGTATTATAAACTTTTAATGATGTATTAAAATGTTTTATACCTTATATTGGTTTTTCAATGTGCTTTGTGTACTGCACAGAGAGCTTCAGCTGCTGGGCGATATAGAAATTAATTAATTAATTAATTAATTAAAATCACATCCAAGATCCACAAGGTATTGAGCAATACCTTTATGAAGGCCAATCAAAATTTCATTAAAATGTGCAAGCTTTTGCATTTTCCAGAACTCTTGCTCAGCTAGCACAAAAAGCAGGCAGCAGAGGAAGAAGCAGAAAGCCACAAATGTGGCCAGATGTTGTCAGGATGTTGTTTGCAATCTCAAAAGAGGGATGTGTTGCCTGCATGTGCAAAGGAAGGTACTTTGTAGCCAAAACAACTAAGTTCTCATACACACTGGTGTGGTTTAAGCTGCTCAGGAATGGGATCTTGAAATTGCAGCATTAGTAGCATTACACCTCTGACAATTGGCCGACTGGATTAAGCACTTACCAAAGAGAATTTAGGTCATTCCGTGTACTTGAAACCTCAGTGCTACATGATCTCTAAGCAGTTAGTGACAAGTGATCAACAATAGGCTGCTACCATTTGATGTTTTGTAGTATAGTATGCTCTAGGTATTAAATTTCTCTTTATGCGGCAGACATGTCCAAATGCTTTTGTTATGATTATCCTAGTCCGAATCTGAATCAAGATTGTACATATTTCTTATGAGGAAGAAATTATGTGATCAGCTTGCCTTCATACCCAAATGATTCTAAATGCATATGAGAAGGTTTGGGCACATAGGACTAGAAAAACCACAGTTGATGTTCATCTTCGAGAGTAAAATGCGGCTGTAAATAAAAGCTTTGATGGAGAGACCATACCTTTTCATCCCAGCTTTCCAACTGTCATGGTCTCATGACCAGAGAAAATCCTGTGGTCATGAGACCACAGATTTTGTTCCACAATCAGGATTATCTAGCCATTTTCTAAGGTTGCCTTTGAACTTCTGCCTGTGTCAGAAATTGGCTTGTCTCATATCACAATGATTCCCAAAGCAATCTGGCTTCTGCAGTCTCCTCTAGTGTCCTTTCCCCCCAATGTCAATGCCTTAATCTGATCATTCCCTACCAGCAACTCCCATGTTAAGCTCCTGCATTTCACAGTCTTTGTTTTCCATCTATTTTTCTCATCAGACTGCTTCTCCATCCTTGGTTCTCTTATTCTAGGTCACACCAAGGCAAACTGGGCACCAAGGCAACAGAAGGCGTTCAAGACGCCTTCATAAAAAGACTACCCTTCTCCATACAATCAAATTGAAATGGCAGCAAAGGCACTTGCTAGCATCAGTTCCTGATCCAGAGATTTCCCCTCAAGGAGATGTTGCTTGCCTCTTATTGATGCAGTTACACATTGAACCAAAGTTCCCTGGATCCTATAGATAGTTGGAAAAAGAAAATGAAGCAGGTCAGTTTGGCTCAGAAAATATAAATCTCTGCATTTTCATACCAAGTAAGGAAATCTGTGGACACACTAGTATATGAGCAGGGATGTTGAAATCAGAAATATTAAGGCAGTCCAGGATGACACAGACTGTGGCACTTTCTTAACAGTGTGAATCTGATGCATCTTCACAAAGAGGGGAAATGTCCTTTCCTGAAAACTGGAAACCCAGCCTTCTCCCACTGACCAGTACGTACCACAAAATGTCAGCACAGAGCCTGGGACTGATGCTCAGTGCCATGTTTTGCACATACAGGCTTCACCAAAGGGGTCTCCTTCCAGAAATTGTGTCATGGAATAGTAAGGAAAAGGCTGCAAAGAGAGACAGGTGCTCAGGTGGGGAGACCTCTGGGACCCCAAAAGCAGTCCACCCATGATGACTCCTGCAGCTGGGCCTGAGGTAGGATGAAGAAGCCCATGGTCCTGTCTAGCAGGGTCAACCGACTGTCTCCTCCCAGAGAGGGGACCTCTCTTAACCTGTAAGCTGCAAATCTCTGGTCCTCCCCCACTGATCAGTACTTACTACACAATGTCAGCAAAGGCTGTGAGCAGAGGCTTCGACTGATACTCGACGCCATGCTTTGCACATATGGACTTCACCAGAGGAGTCACCTTCCAGTAGTTGTGGTGCGGCATGGTAGGGAAAAGGCTGCAGAGAGAGAGAGGTGCTGGGATCTCCGGCCTTCCTCGGATTCCTGAGCGTCCTTTTCTAGACATTCACTATTTTTTATTTGGAACATTTCTATTCCATCCTATACAAACCAATTGTCTCAGAACAGCTTACAGTATAATATAGATAATAAACAATCTACAACTATAAGATAAAATGCAACTGAGGCTATTAATATTGATAAAACCAGATTAAAATCATTCAAGCTTTAAAATGTTGGGTAAATAAAAAGGATTTTACCTGGCGCTGAAAAGCGTATAAAGTCTCTGGGGAGCACATTCCTCAGTCAGGGCACCACTGCAGAGAAGGGTCTCCTCCGGGTGTTTGCTCTCCAAACCCCCTTTAAGGAGGATTAATCCATTGTGAAGCTTGCCCAGGAGATGCTCTTGCTTACAAGGCTAATCACCTTTCATAAGCACAACCGTGCAGTGCAAGGCCTCAAAATAAGCACTCTCATTAGCATCTCTTGCCTAGATTGTTTCATGTCCTAGGTCAGTCGGCACAAAATGGAACCTCATACTGGCTAAATGGTGCCCTTGTGCGGCACACAGTGCATGCTGGTATTAGCATGTGACGCTCTGCGTGCATTGAGGCCGTTACGGGCATTTTTAGGTGGAACACTGAAGGGAACAGCACTAGGCCAACGTTTGCACTTTCTTACGCTGGCACAGAAATAGATATATATTGGCTGAGCACATTCCAAACATGGGCACAACAGAGATCTGTAAGAGCAGAGCATGTATAAGGCAGGACAGCAGTCTTCATGGAACACAAGGCAGGAGACTTGTGGGTATGTGATACAGTTAGGGATGCTGAAAGTAGACTTGCTTCTCTTTAGCACAAGCATTTCTTCATCTGTACCATCTTGGTTTTGCAATACCACTGGTGTTGTTCCCCACACCCAATGTTTCCAAGAGTTGCTGGCTCATAAACGCTTTTAGTCATAGGTAGTTCGCATGCACATTTCTTGGCTAGTCATTTGGAGAATGAACATGGCTCGATTTATAAATAATGCAAGCTACAGGCTGTCGCAGTGGCTAATAAGTCATGAATCTGAGCTCATCTCTCTAAATAACCTATGGAGCGTTTGCACAACCCCCACTGCTTTTATGCTGGTTAGATGCCTATCCACTGTTGTATTACTGAGAGAATCCTGTTTGCAGAAAAGACATAAGCACACCCTGCCTATAGACTATCTTCTGATAGTCTGCTCAAGAAAAAGCTAAAACAAAAACCTACTACTTTCATCTTTACCGAGAATCCATAAGGGAAGCACTGCCACTGGCAGAACAACTTGTTAGCACAGCTGGGCCCCAAGGGAACAATAACCCAGAGTTTCCGAAACTCACACACAGCCCTTCTCCAACACCTGAGGGTGGGTTATCATGCTGTCTTGATATATTAAAAACCCTGCCCAACCCACGAGGCCTATCAATGGAAGTTTCCCACCCCTTAGTGTTGCACACACATGTTCAATTGGGTCTGATTTGGTTGGAGCTCCAACCTTGAGTACATCCTTCACAGACCAACTGGGGGGTCACCCCACACCGTATTTCCTCAGTATGTTTATGCCTTTGATTTGGCAACCTTTTCCAGAAAAGGTGGTCAGCCATGAGAGTGACTGGGTTTAACTCACACAGTCTCAAGCCAACGGGCAAGCACGAACATTTGCCACGTCAGATCTTTCTCTCCTTATCCTCCATCAGTGATTGGGCCTGGAGAACTTACCTGCACAAACCTCCTTTTGCCTGCTTCCTACTTCCACGCCTCCCCAATCCTCTTTCACTCCCAGGGATAACCAAGCATCTCAGCCAAGGAAGCTGCAAGCGGAACACTTGGTGCGTACCTGTCATCCCGTTTACACCCCAGAGCCGGCCTCCAGGAGAACTCACCGAGTCGTTCAAGTTCTCATTGCATATTTAAATGGGTCAATAAACTGCGTCTTTGCTCTAACATTTTTGCATTCCCCCAAAGTAGCAACTGTAAGTTGTATTAGCGTTTAACGCATTTTCCATTAATGGAAGAAGGGAGTGTGCATGTGTTGTTTTGGAGCCCCCCCTTTGCCAAAGACACACTAATGCAAATGAGGACAATCCTTGTAATGAATGTACGCACACGTGTGTGCATGTGTGTACAAATTTGTGTAGGTTATCTAAAACACAGTGATCAAACAGAAGGACAAAAGGCAGCACATAGTTTGCTCGAGCTACTCCTCTTTTATTCAACACTTACATTGAGATTTAATTGGTTAGACTATCATCATCCAAGAAAACTGCACACAAGAAAAATGTCCACTATTAATGCATAGGGGAGAGAGAGACTCCTCTATTTCCAGACTTAGCATTACCTTTTAAACAATCAGCACCTGGATGAGAAGGGCATTTTATCCCAAGCCAGATCCCTCCAAATGCCAAACTAGGCAAGACTGTCGAGATCTACGAGAGGACTTCCCGTCTCTTTCAGTGTGGACAAGTGACAACCTGTGACTGAGTGGCGGTGATGCCCTGAGGAAAATGCAGTGCTGGCCTTTAAAAACCCGAGTGTCCTTTCCCCGTTGGAAATGCTGACACCACATTGCTTCCTTCTTATGGAAACAGTGTGGCGTTTGTTCAGTGTGTGTGTGTGTGGTATACTTTCCCTCACACGGGAAACAGCAGCTCCAGGGCACGGGCTGCACTTAATCCCCGTCCAGATTATGCATACATGGGCACACATGCAGGTTTTCGGCCAAGTTTTACTACGGTGACATTTCTGTTATCTCACCTAGTTGGGTGTCACTTGCAACTTGTATCAGGCTCTTGGCAGACTGGAACAGTTGCATTTGAGACAGGCTTAGTGAGTGGAAGGAAGGAAGGAAAGAAGCTGCCTTCTGTCATATACCATATTAGGTAAGATGGACAGACATAAAAGAAGCGGTTGAAACCAAGAGGAAGAAGAAAGGGCAGGGTGCGGGAGATATGCTTTGGGGTTGCGGCTCCCTTTCTAAGAAGCACTGTGCTAGGATTGTGCCCCGTTTCTTCTCCTGCATTCACTCACATTTGCAAGCTGTGTCACATCAGCCGGGACCGATGCTACCAAGCAGTACAACGCTCTGATGCCCTCTGCCATCTGCCTCCCCAGCCAAAGCATTCCTCAAAGGTGCATTACACCAAAAAGGGGTAACACACTGGCTCATGCTGTGTGCCACGCTGCACCGCTACTCCCTGCGGGTTGGAAGAGGAATGCTTTAAACCTTCTCAGAGGGTGCCCTCTACTGTCTCAAGCAATGAGACTCCATGCTGCAAGCAGCTGTCCCTACAGAAATGCAGTAAAGCAGTTGCTGAGTCCGGTGCTCCTATTTCCACAGCTTCCATTTGGATTGCATTTCCATTCTGCCCCTCAACTTAGCTTGCTTGCTTGCTTTCTCCAAATCACTGCTACCAAAACAAACAAACAAACAACCAAGGCAAGCAAGCAAAAATAAAGATGGCCACCCATTTGGTGATGTGCAAGGCAATCCAATTTGGGGATAAATGTTATTTTAATTTCTACACTTCCCTATAGCCAAAGCTCTTGGTTGCTGTATACTTGCTTCCATGCTGTATGGGGGGTGGGGGAGTAGGGGGAGAAATGAGGCCAAGGACAGCAAAAAAATCCAGCTGGCCCATCACTCAGCTGACATTCTCAATTGGCAAGGGAGACAAATGTCACCATGAGGGAACATTCACTGTCAATTACTGAGATAGCTCAGGATTGTAACTCAGTCTCAGGAATGTAACTCGGACTGCAATGTTGCAGTCTTCTGTAACTCAGGCAATGTAGGAAGGCATCTGTGTGGATTTTTAACCATGAAAAGTGACCAATTAGAAGGAAAAGACACTTCCTGCTCTCCCCTTACCATAAAACCGAATGTATAAATACAGCTGGAAGGCAAGGTGCTATTTCTTAATATAGAGGAACCTTCTCCAGTTTGGGGCCTGCCAGATGTTTGGACTATAATTCTCATCAGCAGTGCCAGGCAGCCTGGCCAATGATCTTGCGGGCTGAGGTCCAAAAGACTTGGAGCAGGCAAGGATGACTTAAAGAGTCTCACTGGGGTTAATTTTCTGTTTTGGAATGTTGGAAATTGTGCCTTATTCACCCATGAAGGGGCATTTTGAGCAAAAGGGATTTGGTCCTATGTGAAGGCCAGAATATCTATAATTCAGTTGTGCAATATTGAAAAAGCCCTTAAATAATTGAACCATAAAAGGAGTACAAAATGAGCACAGATCCAAGTGTGTGTGAATTATTTGGTCCTCCTCGTAACTCTGAAGGCAGCTTGGCAGCAATGCCAAGGGCCTAGAGCATCCACTTGGAGTCATTTCACTGTGTGATCAATTATCAGTCCTCCTCAAGGTTCATTCTCTTTTCAGTGCGTGACCCCATGAAGTGATAGAGGCACTTTGATAATGAAGGCTCATTTTTGTGCAACGTACAGCCAGGAATATCACAGGCTCCTGAGCACAGGAAGTCCATCTCAGATTTTGTTCCACAGCCAGGATCATGTAGCTAATGTTGCCTTCGAACTTCTGCCGGTGTCAGAATTTGGCTCTCATTTCACACTGATCACAACACAATGTGGCTTCTGTAGTCTCCTTTGCTCCTCCTGTGCCTCCTTTCCCCATGGCAATGCCTTAATCTGATTATCCCTACCAGCGGCTCCTATGCAAAGCTCCTGCATCTCCCAAGCTTCTCCATCTAATTACCAACATCCTCGGTACTGTTATCAAGAGCAAGCTGGAGCAAGGCAAACTGGACTCCAAGGCAACAGAAGGCTTTAGAGACTCCTCCATAAAAGACTTTCCCATCTACATACAAAGAAAGCAAAATGGCAGCAAAGACATTTGCTGGCATCAGTTCCTGATTCTCACCTTGCTGAATTTGCATTTTTTTAAAAAAATTAAACATCTCAGTCCATTCAAGAGCAGAAAGGAGGAATGGATGAGTAACAGGGAAGAAATAAAGATGCCTCGAAACACCTCGACCAGCATTTGGCTGCACACCCAGTTTGCCACCCATCTGCCCAGTGTTGGAGGCAGCAAAGGTGGGAGATCTTCCCCCCCGGGGGGGGGGGATGTTGCTTGTTTCTTATTGATGCAGGTATGCATCAAGCCAGAGCTCTCCCGAATCCTTCAAAGAGCTGCAAAAAGAAAAGGAAACAGGTAAGGCCAGCAAATGCAAATCATTTAGTCTCTCTGTGAACTGAACTGGAGCAAGGAATTCTGAAGGCACTCTGATAATAAAGGGCACATTGGAATAAGAAATACTGAGATACTTAGGAGAGGGCTGGTGCTGGATTCCACCAGGTCATTGGCATAGTGTTGCTAATGGGCCCCTTGCTGTCAAAGCTGCCCATCTGCTGAAGCAGCCCATCCACTGGCCCACCGCAGATGCCACCTGCCGCTGGAAAGCCTGGCACATCAGGCCACCTCCCAAACCTCTAGCCTGCCCGGGAAGAATCTGGCCCATTCACCACCAAAGCCCTCCACCCACCAGCCAAGCCGTTGCCTGCCGACCAGCCGAGCCCACCAAATGAGACCCCCGCTCCTGCCTGTCTGCCCTCTCTCTCTTCTTCTATGACTATGCAACTTTTGACCTGGTTGGGGAGAATGGCACCAGCTCCTCTTCCTCAGTCGGCCAGCCCCACTGGCCAAGTGCTGAGGCACCTGGCCAGCTGGGCCTGGAGGAGATTAAGACTTCTTTTTTATTAATATGTTGAGTAGCAGCAACCTGAGCAGATCAGATGCTGCCTTTTGGGGCAGCCAGACAGTAAGGGCACATGAGCAACATAAAGCCCCACTGTGTCCTACTTGGCCATGTTTTCCCCAAAGTGAAAATCTGATTGGTTCAGATCACTTCTACTCAAAAGTAAGTTTTAAAAGATCCTTTGAAAAACAGGGTGGCATGGGGCCTGGAGGGTCAGTCAGGTCCTTTAACCAGTGGGGCAGGCAAATGGGGGAGGAGGAGAATGGCAACAGCTGCAGCCGGCTCAGGTGCAAAGATGGGCCTTTCTGAGCCTCTGGGACCCCGAAAGCAGTCCACCCATGATGACGCCTGCAGCTGGGCCTGATGTAGGATGAAGAAGCCCATGGTCCTGCCCAGCAGGGTCAACCGACTGTCTCCTCCCAGAGAGGGGACCTCTCTTCTCCTGTAAGCTACACATCTCTGGTCCTCCCCCACTGACCAGTACTTACTACACAATGTCAGCAAAGGCTGTGAGCAGAGGCTTCGACTGATACTCGACGCCATGCTTTGCACATATGGACTTCACCAGAGGAGTCACCTTCCAGTAGTTGTGGCGCGGCATGGTAGGGAAAAGGCTGCAGAGAGAGAGAGGTGCTGGGATCTCCTGCCTTCCTCAGATTCCTGAGCTCCTTCCTTTTCTAGACGATCACTATTAATCCATCGTGAAGCTCACCCAAGAGATGCTCTTGCTTACAAGGCTAATCACCTTTCTTTAGCACAACTTTATGGTGCAGGGCCTCAAAATAAGCACTCCCATTAGCATCTCTTGCCTAGATTGTTTCATGTCTTAGATCAGCTGGTACGAGATGGAACACTACCCTAGTCCAAGACTATTTACACACTTAGAATTATCTATTTTATTGTCCCTCTGTTCAATTCTGATCATACCCAGTGCCTACTCACATGGTGCTTCTGTGGGTTCATTGAATCCCATAAAATCCTTACAGACAAGTCACCTGCATCCATACCATGAATTATTCCAGTATTATCCCAGCTCCCTGAGTTGTCTGGTAGCCCACGAAGCTCTACCTGTTTCAGTCCCTCCATAAGGTCACTTACAAGTATGGCAGGTGCCCTAGTTAAACTCCTCCCAAAAGAAGAGATCCCATTTTTTCTTCCAGGCATCATATGAGTCGATTTTTCCCAAGCTGTGATGCCCCCACCAAAATTCCACCCTCCCCTCCCTCAAAGAGAATGTACTCACTGGTGCTCAATTTGGAAGTTGAGGTGCCCACTGAACCAGTCGTTGAAGAAGGACTGGTCTACATTACATGTTGCCTGGAGCTGGAAGGTGAAGAAAAACACAAAGAACTCTCACATCAGGATATTCTGGCTTGATAACTCAATGGACTCAACATGGTTTGTCACTTACAGTCCTTAGAAGAGGAAGGACAAAATAAACCTATAGAGCTGCTGCAGGGGGGCACCTGAAACCGTAGGCGTGTGCAACACACCATCCACAAGCCACTTGCTGCCCCACCTGGTCAATCCGGCAGCCTACAGTAATCCTGTCACTGCCAAATTCGCTGCTGTGGAAGCCGCTGAGAACGTGATTCTGCTTGTAAGCAAGGCATGCACTTCCCACACAACTCCTTTTTCGGCAATATCATGGGGTGGTTTTTCAGTCACCATCAATAGTGGCATTTTCAGTGACTGCATGTTTGCACATGGCCTTTGGCGAGTCCCAAGCTGCAGCGACACAGACTGCTGACAGCCAGGAGCTGCCAAACCTTGATCTAAGGGGACCACATTTTGACTATTATGCCACCACCTCACTGGGTTCTGCTATTTGTGCCAACCAGAGGAATGAGAGGAATACCAGGAGCACAGTGGAGGAAAGAACAGGTTATAGCCGCCCCGAGGCTTTGTTGCGATGCAGGCAGCACAGAAAAGTTTTAAATATATAAATAAATAAATAGAGCCAAGGCTCAAGCTGAAATGCCCTTCTAGCATCCCTGGGACCCAGACATTCACCACAAACTGCTAATCTGCCATGATGGAAGTTAATGTGTTGTCCTAATGCAGTGCTGGGCAACTTGTGGCCCCCCAGATGCTTTTGCCCCTCATCCCCCACTACTGGCTAAGTTGTCTACAGCTAATAGGCAAAAACATCTGGAAAGGAGCAACTGACCCCTCCCTGGCCTAATGACTTCACATGCTCTGGATCAGTTTCTGTCAAATATTCCTGTTCTTGCTCATCTGATTTTGTCTTTCACTCATCACAATGGCTTGTACATAGCACACCACTCATTCTTCCAATCATCCACTGGTATTCTTCTTCCTCTACTTCAGCATGCCAGCCATCTTCTTTGTTACCTTTTTTTGAAGTAAGAGACGAAGTCTGAAGATGTTGAAAAGACTATGTAGTTTATTCCAAGGAGTAGCTATCTGCATTTTGGCTCTGGATAATTTACATGGACTATCTTTAAAATCAGTATTTACAAAAGGTCGCTGTAGATTAATCCTGTAGATTTATCCTTTTCAGAGATCTCAGCAGGAACTGTTATAAATGCTGACCCCGCAAAAAGGACCATATGTATTATTCGGGGCCAAAACATGCAAGCCAACTCCTTGGAATAAAAATGCTATTTTTGCATCTTGAGACTTCATGGCTTTTCATTTGATTGGGCATTTAAAAAAATATTCTCCAGTTTTCTTTGACCTCCCTTTCTTGGATGTATCATCTTCAGAAACAGTGAGACTGGGCAGGACAGGTGGCTCACCTGGGTTGAAAGCCAGTCCAAATTCTTATCATAATCTATGTTCATTGGGATGTGATTCATCTGCGTCACCCAGACAAACCAGTGACTCTCTATAATTCTGCATAAAACAAAATGATTAATAAGCACAATTCCACCCAAACACGAATGTGATAAAAAAGAAGTAAAATTTGTTCAGAACCAATCAAAATAATCTAAAAAGGTGAGCAGAGAGCCAGAATTGGATAATTACAGACAGCAGATGTGAACAGGTAAACAAAAGAGTGGAAAGTTCTCTGCAACCAAAAATGGTTTTATGAGGAACACAAACCCACGATCACTCAGTGCAGGTTAATAAGTCATAAACATTCTTTATAACTGTGACATACTGACAATCAGGTTATATTGAAAATAAAAACCAAAAATGAGCAGGGAGTTCTTTTGGTGTTAAACTGGGAGTGCAATGGGCAATCTATATACCCGCTGTGAGAGCAGATTTTGAGAGTCACGACTATTTCAGTATAGCATTCCACTGGCAAAGTGCATGCCATTCTGGAGATGTGGAGAGAGGGGACAGTATCACTGAGACCCTGCAATTAATCTCTGGATGACAGCACAAATTACATGCATTTAAAACGGGGCCCTGATCAGCAAAGGCTGGACCACACAACCTCACGCTAGGACAAGATCCTTGAATGTGAAAAAGGGTGGAACCCTGGACGGGACAGCGAATGCATAGAGAGCATAGGAAGCAGGCTTATTCAGAGTCAGGCCTTTGCTTCATCCAGCCCAGCACTGTGGATGCAAAGTGGCAGGGGCTCTCCAGGTTTCAAGCAGGGTTCTTATTCACTTTCTCTACTTTAAGATGCCAGGGACTGACCTGAGACCTTCTGCATGCAAAGTTGGAGGCTCCCAAAATACTTTTGTTTGGGTGTAGGTGAAATACAGTATTTCAATTGTATTTCAATTCCTCTACCACAAAATGTAATTCTCAGGGTAGAAGTGATTTTGGTCCCTAGATAGGGACATGCACACTTTTATGTTTATCATGGGACACTCTTTTAGACTGGGTTTGTCCTTCTGTCTTTTATTTTTTCACATAACAGCATAACAATGCTCAGTATAAAATTCAAGCACATCGTGCACTCAGAATCATTGCAGTGGAGCTATGCTGAGCAAAAGCCGTCTAGGCGGCATGCCAGTGTCCTTGTGCCAGCAGCTAAAAGGGACTTGGCTTCTCTGTAAGAGAGCTCCCACTTTCCATCTTCTGAATTTCCTTTTTATACTCTTATAAAAAGAGTATAGTTTTTGTGCTCCATATGCTTAAATAAATCTGTATCTCTCTCTCTCTCTCTCTCTCTCTCTCTCTCTCTCTCTCTCTCTTTAAAACTTTTATATGCCGTCCTTTATGTATGACATCTCAGGAGGGTTTACAATAATTAAAAGCAGAATACAATAAAACAATCAATACCAATATAATAAACAATATATAACCAATAAAAATAAATTAAATCAAAAGCGACTGTTGAAACCATTAAAATACTAATTTTTAAAATAACAATTGAATAAAAAGGTTTTGACCCGGCACTGAAAAGAATACAGGCTCGGCACCAGGCGAACCTCTCCAGGGAGCGCATTCCACAATCTGGGCGCCACCGCAGAGAAGGCCCTACTCTGAATAGATGTCCTTTTTAACTCCTTCAGGGAGGGTTCTCGGAGCAGGGCCTCTCTCACAGATCTTAAGGGGCATGAGGGCGTATAAGAAAGGAGACATTCTTTCAGGTATCTTGGTCCCAAGCCATTTAGGGCTTTACTGGTCAAAACCAGCACCTTGACTTGGGCCCGGACTTCTACCAGTGGAGCTGGTAGAAGACCAGCGTTATGTGATAATAACGACCGGTCCCCATCAGCAGCCTGGCCAGTCTATTCTGTACCAGCTGAAGTATCCGGACCGGTCTCAAGGGCAGCCCCACGTAGAGCATGTTGCAGTAATCCAACCGGATTTATGTCTCAGTAAGGCACATTCCTATGGATACATTTCTGTTCCTACATCAATCATATCTGAACAATGAAATCCAGACCTGCTGAAGTCAAACCTCTCACTATGATTGATGATTCCAAGGACATGCTTATAATTATATCCTTGAATCCCATGACAGGACAGAAGCCTGTCTGTGACAAAGTAATTATCTCTTCTTACAACATGCCACCCATGTCTCTGTGACTCAAAAATCATCTCAATTTATGATCAGAAAGACTTTGCTTCCTTAACTTTCCACATACCTAATTTAATAATGGCTCAGTTGATGTACAAATGGACACAATCTGTTCTCAGTCCTTCTCTTATCAATTAAGATGTGTGAATAACTGTGTTAATAGTCTAGCACAATCTGTCTCCATCAGAGATGGCTCAGAGATAAGGCATGATTTGTTCTAACAAAGAAATCCTCATATCACTGGATCCCTGTATCACGGTATTTTTTTAATCCAGAATTTGCACAGTGCCATCTGATCACTCAGTTTCCTGGTGGCATAACTGAGCAAGGTGGCCCAGATATGGGGCATTCACCGCAATGAAGCTCTATCACTAGGACAGGGCTGCTGACCCCTTTCAGTCCAAAGAGAAGCTCACAGGGGCAGCATCCCAGTGCTGGGCTGCATCAAGGCAAAAATACTAGCGTGCATCAATAGCTAAGCTTTAGGCCAGGGGGAACATTAGCATCTGGGGAATTCCAGAGGGCCACAGTGGGACCACAGATGGATTGGATTTGGTCCACAAATGTGAGACTCCCAGATTTATCTACAGTTATTAACAGTCCTGTTTAGCATCCAAGAAAAGGCTGGGTACCAGTGATAAACTTACCTGAGCAGGAAGAAAAGCCCAAGGAGGCTCTTTAGCTCCAGTAAGAATGAGTAAGTCACAAAGAACCGGATATAGAAGGTCACCATCCAGGCCAGATCCTATCACAAAGCAGAGGAGGAGCGTTCTGCAGAAGGGAATGTTACAGCGAGACCCACGCGTTTCCTCCCCAATTTGCACACTAGCCCCAGAGGCCACATGGGCAGCCCACATTCACTGTGCTTGTGCCATCCCTCATGGGGCTGCAGTGGAAATAAAGACCAGCCCTCAAAAGATCCCACATGCTTTTATCAATGTGTCCAAATGCTTTCAACTTCAGTGGCTCTGAAACAAAAGTGAAGATACAACCACCCAAGCTCTGTGTAAACTTTAATTTACATTTAAAAACGGATTAGCAGATTTAGACTTAAGCTTAAGCAGGCTTAAAGTGGGTTGAATTCTTGTGCACCCAGAGTGGCCGAGCTGACCTAACTCCCTGCCATTACTACTCTTGGTTCATTCCCCTAACACAATCACTTTAGTCCTGTGCAGCCCCGTTAGGGAAGGCCTTCCTACCTTAATGGGTTCCAACAAGGTGTGTGTGTGTGCTGTCAGGGAGGGAATCTAGGGACGTACCTTCAAGACTAGCTTGCAAAGGAGCCCATCTCTGTAAGTGTAAGTGTGCTCCAATAATCAAAACACTGAGGAAGACAGAAAGCAGCCAGGGAAGTAAAGCACCTGCTTATAAATGGCAATTAACCCACTGAAAACAAACCTGTCGAGGTGCCCAAAAGGCCCTGCATTTGGAGCTTACAAGTATCAGTGGCAGGGCAGGAGGAACAGCAGAGGCAGCCTTGCCCCCCTCCCCCCCCTGCATTTTGTGCTTGGTGGGCCTTCTTGCCTAGTTAGTTGGAGTATCTGTGAGGGAGAAGGACAGAGAACAGAGAAGCTTCACAACACCTTCCATCCTGCTCTCTCTAGGCTCCTTCGCTCCCCAGCCTTCAAAATGCCCCCTTCTCCACTCTCAAGGTTGCTTTCTTGACTTCAGTGAGCAGGTGGCATGATGGCTCTTTCTGACTGGCTGCAAGTGGGAGGGAAAGGGGAACCCTGGCCACAGATCTGGGAATCCAAGTGACCCTCAGTCAATGCCCACAGGTCATGAGAATGCTCCTTAACTGACCCTAAAGCATGGGCATTGTGTCAGAAACTAAATCCTGAGGCACCATAGCTTTTGCCTTCTGCCATTGCTCATTTTGGAAGTGGCAAAGCTACCAGACACCTATAAATCAAGATGGGTCCCCTGCAGACTTTGTTGGTCTAGTCAGTTCCAGTCCAGTTTAAAAATTAGAAGGTGGCACTGCAGCATCAGAACAGAAGCGTCAAAGAAAACAGAAACCAGCCAAGTGAGTTAGGTTACCTGGCTAAGTTTAGCAAAAGGGCCCTCAACACCTCCCTTACCTGTATTATTGAAAACCCTCTCGGTAAATAATTTAAAAGACCCATACAGAGAAGATATAAAATGAGAGAGCTGATAAGGGAACAGGAGCTATCCAGTATATTGCACAGACGGGTGACTATCTTCTGCAATGCATGGCTGCCTTTCAGGGAATAAGTCCTGGAGAAGCCCGGTACGGACATACGACTCACCACCCATTGTCTGCGCTGGATGCAAAAGTAGAAGATGTACCACTGTAAATAGAAAGGCACCAGAGCTGGAGGTCCAACTAGAAAAGAATGCAAAGACACATGTACAACTAAAGTTAGTTCAGAACAAATTAATGCTCAGGGCATCTAGACTTGCTGATGCATCCCCGATGCATGTCATCTTTTCCCACTTTCCCCTCTCTCTTCCCTTTCCGTTATGTGTGGGGCTGGATGTCCCAGCTCACAGGCATTGATTCGGTCCATCTGGTCCCTGTAAATCAGGGCAGGCAACCTCTTTGGGTCATGGCCACATTTGGAAATCTGAGAAATTGCTCTGGGCTCCACCACGAAGTGGCTGCCAAAGGAGGCAAGGCAAGAACAAGTTTGTTGTTATGTGTCATCAAGTCATCTCTGATTTAGGAGGACCCTGTGCATGACTGGCCACCCAAATGCCCAGCCCTTGTCAGCCCTGCTCAGCTCTTGCAAACTCAAGGTGGTGGTTGCGCTCATGGAACTGAACCATCTCGTTGCTGGTCTTCCTTTTCGGCCTTTCCCTTTCCCTAGCATTTCTGTCTTTCCCACGGAATCTTGCCCTTGCATGATGTGCCTCCAGCACATGTTCCCCCCAAAAGGAATTCAGGGCAGAGGTGAGGTCTGTGTCTCATCACACTAAAGAACTCGTTTGAACCCAGAATTCAGAGCAACAAGCATTTCCATCTCCCAGCCATCAGAAGTAAAAAGTCGTTTCACAGCAATCTGAAGTTCTGGAGAGAAAAAGGTGTCAATCATGAGGGGTTTTTTGGGATGGTGGTGGTAATGAGAGGATCAAGGCACCTTGGTCCCCAAGAAAGGTGCCCAGGGGTGCACTGGGGAGACAAGACCCATTCTAGGGAGACTAGACCCATTCTACCAGACTACTGCAATGGGATGGTGTAAACCAGTGTCCTGCAACACCAGGAGGTTGGACCCAATGGCCTTCTTGGCCCCTTCCAACCCTACTATTCTATGATACAGCGCCCTGTATGTGGGGCTACCATTGAAGACTTATGATACATCTTCATTTGTTAGAAGTATTACTCTTTGGCTGCCAACTGAAGCTGGCCAAAGGAAACACCCGTTGCCAGTTCTAAAAGTGATTTTAAAATGTATAAATGGGAAAGAGCCAGCTCTGGCCACTTGTGGAGATGTGCCTCTCCTGACCCTGCAGCCTCACAGCACAGCATGGCATGAATGCAAGTGGACCCCACCTTGCCTAAGCAAGCAGGCCACGTACACGGTTGCTGGAACCTGGGTAGGTGACCCCACATGGGAAACAAGACAGAAAAGCAGGTTGCTTACCTGTAACTTATGTTCTTCGAGTGGCCATCTGTGCATTCACACATATGGTTTGCTGCGCCTGCACAGTGCCTAGGCTGGAAGATTAGAAAGCTAACGGTTTTTGGCGGGAAAACTCCACTCCCCTCCCCCTTTGTGGTATAAATAGAGCGGAGTGTCCGCCATTTTGCTCAGCCTTGAAGACCACACCTTCGCCCTCTAGAGTTTAAAAATAAAGTAATGATAAGACACCATTATATTCCCACGGTACCGATGTGAATTATAGTACGGTACCGAGAACAATCTCTAGTCAGCGATATAACCTCCCGGTACCGATGCCATTAATATTTCGGTACCGAAAAAAAATAACCACTCAGCAATATAATCCAAATGGTACCGATGCAAATTATAGTACGGTACCGAGAAAAAACACGATATCCACTCACCGACACCGAGTGGGGCCAGTGGGTGGGTTGTGTGAATGCACAGATGGCCACTCGAAGAACATCAGATACAGGTAAGCAACCTGCTTTTCTTCGTCATGGACTCTGTGCATCACACATACCAGACTCGGCGGAGGGAGGTGTCATCATCGAAGAACGGATGAGAGAAAAGCTCTACCAAAAGAGCAATCCCGTCTGGCACGTACATCAAGCCGATAGTGCTTGGCAAAAGTACATGGACCAGCCCAGATCGCAGCTCTGCAGATGTCTTGCAACGGAACCCCTGCGGCAAAAGCGGACGAGGTCGCTACTGCTCGAGTAGAATGGCCAGTTGGAGAGACAGGTAAGTCTATTTTCGATAGCTGATAAGCCAGGACAATAGTCTGGGTGATCCAATTAGAGAGTCTCTGAGATGATATCGGTGATCCCTTTTTTTGCTCAGAGTATTTAACAAAAAGTCTATTAGTAGTACGAAAAGATTCAGTGCAGGATCTGTAAAAGGCCAAGCAGCGGCAAACATCAAGCGTGTGTAAAGCACGTTCTATCGGGGTCGACGGCGACGGAAAGAAAGCCGGTAGAACGATATCCTGATTCAGGTGGAACGATGTGGCCACCTTGGGTAAAAAGGAGAAATCCATCTGAAGGACAACTTTTTCCTTATGGAAGTTCAGAAATGGTGGGTCTATGCGGAGAGCACAAAGCTCGCTAGCTCTTCGTGCTGATGTAACCGCTACTAGAAAGGCAGTTTTCCATGACACCAGGCGTAAGTCCGCAGTTGCTAAAGGCTCGAACGGTGGTTTGGTAAGTGTTTGGAGTACTACAGAAAGACTCCACATTGGCATGGCAGGGCGAATAGACGGATGTAAATTTCGTAGTCCCTTAATGAAGCGCCGAACCAGCGGTTGTGAGAAGACTGATAACCCGTGTATAGTGCCACAATAATGGGATATAGCGGCTGCATAAACTTTGATGGATGACGGTTTAAGTCCCTCATGATGCAAATGTAAAAGAAATTGTAAGATATTGGTGACTGAAGCCGTTGCAGGGGAGAACAAATGGCACTCCGCAAAAGAGGAGAATCTTCTCCATTTAGCCGTATAGGAACGACGAGTGGACGGTCTTAATGCAGATTCGATAATCGCCTGAATTTCTCTGTCGGTAGGCATCGGTATCGTGATATTCGCTGTCGAATTCAAAGTTGGGGCTGCATATACCATGTGTTGAGTGAGGTCACCGTAGTGTGAGGTGTCCCCGGTACCGACTCGGTGACGTGAATCAGGTGATTCGCCATGCTATCAGCTTCAGAGAGAATATATCCAGATGGCGGGTCGCTCCTCCTTGTTGTGTTAACAAGTGCGGGAGAGTTGGTAGGTGAAGGAACATTCTTCTGGACAGCAGCAAGAGAGTGGTAAACCATGGTTGTCTTGGCCACCATGGAGTCACTAGTATCCCCGTGGCCCTGTCCTGCGCTATTTTTGTTACCACTCTCGTCAGAAGTGGGATTGGAGGAAACGCATAAAAAGTCATGTTGCTCCAAGGGACCATGAGAGCATCTCCCATCGATCCCGGCCCGACGCCCGCTCTGGAACAGTAAAGGGCACACAGGCTGTTCTGTCACGTGGTGAACAGGTCCACATCCGGATAACCCCACAGGCGGAAGAGTCCCTCGCAAAGTTGTTTGTCCAACTCCCATTCGTGGGTTGTTGACATCTGTCTGCTTAATGTATCTGCTTCGACGTTGTCGGTTCCAGCCAGGTGAACCGCCATAAGCGTGATGTTCCTCGGTATGCACCAGTCCCAAATGTCCATTAGTAGGTGTGCTAAGGCTGGAGATTTTGTGCCCCCCTGCTTGTTGATGTAGAAAACTGCCGCTATATTGTCTGATGCAATTTGGACAATTTGATGGCATAACACAGTCTCGAAAGCCTTGAGGGCGTTGAAAATCGCCAGAAGTTCCAGGAAGTTGATGTGTTTCCTCGCCTCTCGTCGGTTCCAAGTACCTTGGACCCGAAGTCCCGAACATGCCGCACCCCATCCCAGGAGGGATGCGTCGGTGTACAGAGTCGTCGTTGGCCGAGGTGGTCGAAATGGGGTGCCGATCAACAGGTTGTCTGTGATGGACCACCACGTTAAAGTGTGAAGGACTGCATGCGGGATCCAAATCTGCTTGGTGGCAGGATCTTGTTGCGGTTGAAAAACAGCGTTGAAGAACAGTTGAATGGGTCGCATACGTAACCTGGCATACGGGACAATGACAATAGCAGCAGCCATATGCCCCAGTAGTCTCTGAACGGACAAGACTGGAACCGTTCCGTGTAATCAAATCCGATGAATATGGCTGCATAAAGCATTCTGACGTTTCGGTGGGAGGAAAGCTTTTTCCTGTGTCGAGTCGAGTCGTGCCCTGATGAAATCGATGACCTGCGTGGGAATAAGGGTCAATTTGTCACGGTTAATGCAGAGGCCAAAAGCATCGAGCAAAGCGCAGGTCATTTGTATATTAGACAAGAGAGCTTGTTCGGATTGCGAGATGATCAGCCAGTCGTCTAAGTATGGGTAAACCTGTACTCCGCGAGTCCGCAAGTGTGCGCATACCGGTGCCATACACTTTGAAAAGACTCGAGGGGCTGTGGCCAAGCCAAAGGGTAGGATGTTAAACTCGAACAGGTCGGATCCGACAGTAAAACGTAGAAAGCATCTGTGTGAAGGATGTATGGAAATATGAAAATAAGCATCCTTCAAATCCAGTGACGCGGACCAATCCTCACTTTTCAATAATGGAAGAATGTTCTGTAAAGTGGTCATCTGGAACTTCCTTGGTTTGATGTACTTGTTAAGAGCTTGTAAGTCCAGGATCGGACAGAGACCACCATCCCTTTTCGGGACCGTAAAATATCTGGAATAGAATCCATGCAATCCTTCCAAGCAGGACAATTTTCGAATTGCTCCCTTGAGAAGTAGCTGTGAGACTTCATCACATAGCACCAATGAAGAAGGTGTGAAGCGAATCGGGCTCGAAGGAGGGATAACATCGAATTCTATCCTATATCCGAACGAGATGATAGATAACACCCACCTATCAGATGTAATGGACTCCCAAATGGGGAGTAGGCCCTGGAGCCGGTCCCCAAAAGGGAGAAGGGAAGGTGGTGCTGGAGCATGGTTCGCGCAAGCCGTCAACGTGGGCATTTATTGGTATCGAATTGCCTACAGCCTTGGGAAAAACGCTGTTGTGCTTGCTGCCTCCGACGCTGCCGTTGTTGGTATTGTTGGGTTTGAGGGTAGTTTTGCTGGCGCGGATAATATGGTTGATTCCGGTAGGATGACTGGGGCCACTGCCACTTATGTTTTTGCGGGAGCTCCATGCGGCGTGCGGTTAGGCGTGATTCATGAATCGCCTTTAATTTTTGGTCAGTCTTCTGGTGGAACAGACTGGTACCATCAAAAGGCATTTCCTCGATTCTGCACTTCATCTCATCAGGGAAATTACAATTGCGCAGCCACGCATGTCGGCGTAGTGAGATGGCGTTGACGAGGGCCCTTGAATCGGTGTCTACATGGTGACGAGTGGTAGACAGCTGTTGTACCGCCACCTGCATCGCCTCCTTAATAAAAACCCTGGCAAGGTCCGCTTGGTGGTCCGGAAGGGAGGAAGCAATGTTAGCCAGTTTCTGCATGATAAAGTACTGGTAACGTGCCAGTGTTGCTTCATAGTTCGATATGTGCACGCCGAGTCCAGAGGCCGCATAGACTTGGCACGCAAGCATATCGATTTTCCTCTCTTCCTTGTCCCAAGGAGTGGTATGTCCCCTGGACTCCCTGCCCTGGGAGGATTCAACCACAAGAGAGTTCGGTTTTGGGTGACGGAGCAGGAAGGGAATGTCATCGTCCCAAACTCTATACATAGCCTCATATCTGCGGGAGGTCGCTTGTGGTTGGGCCGGTTGGTCCCAGGGTTGGACCATAGCCTGGCGCATTGTAGTTATAAGCGGCAGAGCTATGGATGCGGACTGCTCTCCCCTAATGACGTCATAGAAGCGATCTGTCGAAGGGCCTGGCTGTTCATGGGCTTCGATTTCAAGCGAACGAACCAAGCGGGACATGAGCTCTGTGAACGAGACATGAGGTTCGTCGGGTGAAGCAGGCCCTTGATATGCGACAGCCACATCAGGGGATGTGGAGTCGACCTCCGAGTCCTCGGAGTCTTCCACGTAGTGCGGCCGGTCGTCGTTTGAGGAGGAGGAGGTTTCAGGGGAGGCTGGGTGCCTCGTCTCCGTATGCCTGGAGGTGGATGGCACATCCCTCAGGACCGATGGTGATCTCTGCTCACGAGGGAAATAGGGATATGGCTGGTATCCACCCCAGCCGGGGGGAGCACCATATCCCGGAATCAACCAACTTTCATCTCGACGCTCGGATGAACGGCTGCGACCTCTAGGAGGTAATGGTGAGGCCACATGAGATTCAGTCAGTGGCATGGGTGTTGATGAGCGTTCCCTCGGCGGGGAGTCTGTGATTTCGCCATCAGAGATGGACTCCCAAAGTGGCTCCTCCTGTTGCTGGGAAGGCACGCTCTCAGGCCGAGTGGCTGGCCTGGGGGATTCCGGTGGTGCCACCTGCATAACGAGTTGCAGGGCCGGTCCCGAGGGGGTTGGTACCGTGGCGGCCGTCGGTACCGAGAAGCCCGATGAACCTGAGCCTCGTTGTTTTGGGCGGTCAGGTTTCTTGCTCTTGCGAGCAGGCTTATCCACCTTTTTCTTCCTCAACTTCTTATGGGTGGAGGTTTTATCCAGACTGGTATGCTTGTGCTTCTCCCGTTTCTTAGTTGGGGGAGAAGGCAGCAACTGAGCCGCCACAGAAGCGGCGCCCTCGTCCGAAGGACGCTGAGGAGGGTCGGCAGAGGTTGAGGAAGGACGCTTCGCCGGAGCGCTCACGGTGGAGGAGGAGCACTGAAGAGGCACAGACGAAGAGGAAGCAGGCCGTAGGAGCAGTTGGTCGGACTGCATTAATGCCTGATCCCATAGGAGCTTTCTGAGACAATTCTCCCTATTTTTCCGTGCCTACTTGGTAAATGCCAAGCAATGACCGCACTTGTCGGTCCTATGTCCCTCACCGAGGCAGAGGAAACATAGATCATGTGGATCAGCCGGCGACATTTTAGATCCACATTCAATACATTTGCGGAATGCCACCCGCTGCACCATCGCGGAAAAATGAAGAAAAGAGGACAGTATAGAGGGTAAGATAATATATTTTATATATATATATATATATATATATGTATGTATGTATGTATGTATGTATGTGTATATATATATAGAGAGAGAGAAAGAATTCAAGAAGAAAACGGACAGAATCGGGGAGAAGAACAAACTTGGAGTAAGAGAAGTTTAAACTTTTTGAGAAAAAAACAACAAAGAGGCACAGATCTATAGCGAGAGATGAACAGGCACGAGGCACAGCGAACGGCGGTTGCAAAGGCTGAGCAAAATGGCGGACACTCCGCTCTATTTATACAACAAAGGGGGAGGGGAGAGGAGTTTTCCCGCCAAAAACCGTTAGCTTTCTAATCTTCCGGCCTAGGCACTGCGCAGGCGCAGCAACCCATATGTGTGATGCACAGAGGCCATGACGAAGAAGGCTGAAAATCTATTGTGGGGAGGTTTAGGTGGCAGGCATGTCATGACTCCCCCTCTTGCCCCATTTTGGAATACTTGGGTCCAGCTCCAGTCAATACGCACTCATTTGGTTTCCTATGGAAATTAAGGAAACTTTAAATCTTTCTCCAAATGATTAGCCAAGATATGCACAAGCAAGACATCTGCAACTAAAAATGCCTGTGAGCCAGCAACCCTTGGGAGCTTTGTGGGTGGGAGCAAACAGCTGTGATAGTGCAGAAAAGAAATGATACTCACGGATGAAAAAATATTTGTGCTGGTGGTTGTAAGGCATGAACTTCTTTTTCTGCTTTCCAAGCTGTAAGGAAGCAGGGAAGCTAGTCAACAGGACTACTTGCAAGCAACCTCTCCTACGTTTCACCGGATACGTATCCACCGGTCTCCTGCCTTGTGTTCCATGAGGACTGCTGACCTGCCTTATACACGCTTTGCTCTTGCAGTTCTCTGCTCTGCTCATGCCAGGAAAGTGCTCAGGCAACACGCATCTGTCTCCATGTTTCTGCGCTGGCCCAGCACCGTTTTCCAGCATGCTTCTACTTTGGTGCGCCATCTAAAACGCCCATAATGCCCCGATGAACGCAGTGCGCTACATGTTAATACCAGCATGCACTGAGCACTGTGCACCAGGCAGGGGCAGCATTTCACCAGGATGAGCTTCTCCAGGAGCGCCACCGAGGTGCTTCTTCCACCTCTTGCCAGCCAGCGGAGACGGCGGATTGAGCAACTCAGGTGTTAAGAACTGCCCTGAAACACCCTTTGGCACTTGCCAAGCAAAGCAGGTTAATGAATGAAAGGGAAGTCTCAGACAAAGCAAGCCTTTTGGAATATCCCCACATACCGAAGTACTCAAAGAAATATCGGGCAAAGTCTCAGCCCATGGTAGACAGGGACAATTATCATTTTTAGGGGGACCCTTGCACAAAAGACTACAAGCCCAAATACAGTGGTGCCTTGGCTCACGAATGCCTTGGCTCACGAACAAATCGGGTCATGAACAAAAATTACTGAAAAATTTTTACTTGGGTCGCGAACACCACTTTGGGTAGCGACCAAGATCGCAGCCATCTTCCCCCCCTCCCCCACCCTGTGTGGGGAGATGGCTATGATCGCAGTTCCATTCATGCAGGGAAGGCATCCGTGATCAGAGGCGCACTGCTGCAGGAAAGACAGGAGCAGCAAAGCAGAGCTGCGGGGGAGATGGCTGAGATTCTGCCTGTCTTTCCTACAGGAGTGCGCCTCTGATCAGGCACACCTTCCCTGCATGAACGGAACTGCGATCGAGGCCATCTCCCCACCCCCAGTGCTCCGTTTGCACCCATCTCTCCCTCCCCCAGTGCACCCGCGATCATGCCCATCTCTCCCCATTACCCCCCAGTGCGCCGGGATGACGGGCACCTGCAGGGATGACAGGCCCAATCTCGGTAATGCTGGGGGTGGGCGGGGAGATGGCCGCGCTTGTGCTTGGGGTGTGTGTGTGTCGGGGGGGGAGATGGCTGTGATCTTTGTTGTCACTTTGCTTCAAATTTTTGTGAGAAAAAAAATAGTTGCAGAATGGATTAACCTTATTTACAGTGACCCTTATGGGGACATTTGACTTGACTCACGACCAATTTGGCTCATGACCAGAGTCCTGGAACGGATTAAGTTCATGAGCCAAGGCACTGTAGCTTCCTTCCTGGGCCAGTCTTTCATTACATTTCTATACTGCTCAACAGCTGAGGCTATTTCCTTGGTATTTTGGTATTCCCTTCTTTCTAGTTCTCCTCCACTTGCTGGGGCTCCTCTTTTAATAACCCCTCCTATCTTCTCCTTTCTGCTCCCTTTCCTGCTTCCTCAGATCTACTTTCCCGTGACCACCCTAACTCTTTCTTCTGCTCCTCTTCTGCCACCCCTGTAGCATCTTCTGCATCTTCCTCCAGATTTCCTCCTTCCCCTTCTTTTCCGGCTACTTGCGTTGCTAGACTTCTTCCCCACCACCACCTCTGCCTCTTCCGCCACCTCCAACCCAGCCACATCTGCCTTCTCCTCCCTGATTGCCTGACAGTTGCTCCTGCTCTTCTGGTCGGTCAGGTAGTGGCCACCTCCTTCCACTCATCTCTCCCCACCACTGCTGTGGGGCACTGTAGCCACACAACCCCTGACTCCCAGTTTCCTTGCCTGCACGGAGAAGTGGTTTCCTGGCTGGTAGGGAGATGTGGCAGCCAAGGGTTAGGAAGGGTGTGCTGTTGGGGGTAGGGAGGGCATGGGGTGGTGGTGAGCACTGCATTGCAAACCAGGCCTTACCCACTAGAAGAAATGGAATCTTTAACATAGACACAGAAACTGAGTGAGTCAGAAGGGTCACCCGGGCCATCTAGTCTGACCCCTGGCTCCAGTCGGCTCTGCTCATGACATGCCTACCATGTGCATGTCTAGCCTATCCTTGAACACCCGCACCGATGGGGCCTCAACCCCCCCCCCCCCATGGAAGCCTATTCCATACATTTGGGGTCCAACAGTCAGGAGGTACTTCCAGGCATCCAAATTGAACCTTGGTTCCTTGAGCTTGGCTCCATTTCAAATCTTTCAATTTTTGAATTTTCTGTTCTTCTGAGAACAGAATCTTTAAACAGAATTTTAGGAGTTTGGGGAAGGGTAGAGCAAGGAAATTATGAATTTGAAGACAAGTCTCTGAAGACAAGACATTGCAGAACATGGCTATAATTCTATCATACCCAAAACAGGAGAACTGTTTATGTCATATTTTTAAATTATCATCATCAGCAGCAGCATTGTTTCAGCTGGGAGAAGAGGCCACCCTAGTTTTGGCTGGCGCAATGGTGGGGGGAGAGGTGGCGCTTAAGCCTTTCTCTACATGCCATTTCTCCACTCTGTCCCTCACACTGCTGTAAGCCCCAGTGGGGGAAGGAGACACAAGCATAGAACAGAAATCCAAAATCAGAGCCCTCATAAATACATTCTCAGGAGGACTGTACACGTATTCTTTCTAAAGATATGAACTGGATACTGCTGGTCTTTTTCCATGACAGCCAGAACTTGTTTATGCAATAACCAGAGTGATCCAATATTTATATTCATATTTATTTCTCCTATATAGGATATAGTGAAACAAATGAGATTTGGATTTGGCTTGGCCTCAGTTTTAAATAGAGTAAAGCACTGATGCCATTCTACTCCTTCTGAAATTCAGGATTTAAGTCAAAGTGATTATGATAAATCATTCTACATTTATTTCAAAGATACTCCAGAAAGCACCATTCAAGTGAGTCCAGGAAGAGAAACTTTTTGAGATAATGAGTTGAGATAATGAATTACAACCAAGGGCCAGTCGCTGTTTCGACATAATTCCTCAAAGCTCTGTACAAACCTCTCTGCCTCAAGCTCAAAGGTTTCTTTTCCAAACAAAACACACAGTCACACACACCTACTTCTGAGTAAATAAGCTTAGCATCTGGCAAGAAATCTGATAACCATTCTAAAACTTAGTCCAAAGGCTGGAGAGGCCACTGGACTGGAGGAGGCTGCTTTGTGGCATTACCTGCTTCCCACAGCCCATGCCGTTCTCAAATTTCTACATGACTCACCTCCACAGAGAGTTTCTTTCCCAAGGCAAAAAACAAAGGATGCATATTGAGATCAGGGTCCTTGCGGAAGCAGTTCGGTTTAGCATGGTGCTGGAAATGCCAGTGATTCCACCAGCTGGCCGGTGCCCCCTGCAGAGGGTAACAGATGAGAGGGTCTAAATCTCAAACCATAAGCCCAGGGGACTCAGCTGCTGATGCGTCCTGCTGCCCAGAGCTGGTGTCAGTGTTGTCACTCACCTTCAGATGTCCGATGACAAACTTGTGTACCCAGTGGTTCCACTTAGACTTGCCAAAGACCGAAAGGTGCCCCAGATCATGCTGCAGCCAGCCAGCCTGAGCCTGGAAAACACCCGCATTACTAGCGCGGTTGCCACGCCATCCGTGCACATGGCACTTCTGTAGTATGAGCATCATGAGCAACGATGGGGTGGTGTCGACTGGTGACTTGCACCAGCAGGGGGTTAGGCCTGATGGCCTTCTTAGCCCCTTCCAGTACTGCTATTCCATGATGCTATGAGTGTATGAATAAAAAGGCCCCTGCCCCCAGGGAGCTTACAGTTGGAAGGCAGAACAGTCTTTAAGGGTTGAAAGCCTTTGGGCAGCCAAGGCAACGAACAAATCTATCAAGAAATACAGACTGGCAAAGGGGTGTGGGGAGCAACACACGGATGCTTCTTTTCAAGGAGTTCTAGAGCTGCTCGGTCTCCTCTTGCCCTCCCCAACCTGCCACCTGGCAGATGTGCTGAACTACAATTGCTATCATCATCAGCTATACTAATGCTGATGGGAGGATACCAGTCCAACACATCTGGAGGGTTCCAAGTTACAGAAGGCTGGCGTTTACCTTAACATTTTGAGTATCCTAATTTGTGGCAGTGCGAATGCCACCATAATCACAGTCTCATTCACTGACCTGGCCCACCTGAACGGCAGATTACCTGGACAGTGCCAAGCAGCAATCCGGAGAAGAGGAAAGGCAGCAAGGAGGACCCAAAGTACCACAGGTTGAGCCAAGCTGCCACATCCAGAAGCAAGATGTGAAGGAGATACAAGAAGAAAAAGAGATGGTTGGGATTCAGGAGGCCCATCTGCTCAACAGTCGCACGGAGCTCACGGAAGTCCTGGATAATCTGCTTCTGTGGGGGAGATGCAAAGTTACAGCTTCTGCTCTGAAGAGGGTCTGTTGGACCAGCTTGTCCCAGCCTGGTGCTCTCCAAAACTTTTAGAGGGCACCATTTTGGTGAAGACTGATCTAGAGAGAGACCACAGATTCAAATTCAGCTTTTTTGTTTTCATAGCTCATCCCAAATGGAAGTCACCATATCAGATAAAAGGGACTTATTGTTAGAATGCTGTCCAGCACACTTGGGCACTGAATCATCAGACACAATGGCAAAGAACAGGACTTGAAACATCACTGTAGCAAAGGGCGAAAGACAGAGGGCTGATGCACACTTTTTCTCTCCAAAGAAGGGAACATCCAACATGTTTAGTCCTATTCAGGCCTTCCCTGGCATGCAATTCCATTAGCAAATCATGGCCCCACTCACTCCAGTGCAGCACCATCACCAGCTTTGCAGCCCTCTGTGCCCCAACAGCTGAGTTTCCACTGCCTTTTCCACACATGCAGACTCTCTGCTGCAGGGGTTCAGCCCCAATTGCACGGAGTTGTCAGCAAGGACAGGATGGCGAGGGTGGGGACAGGAAATGTGCCTGCACGGGCCTTGTCTGTCGAGCCATCCACCAGTGGTTGGGACCCCTTTGTGGGTCCACTTCTTTAGCATATAACTAGTCTCACATTTACAGCGATACTGACAATCAGTTCTCAAAGGCTAAACAGAGGGTGCAGCAGAGCATCAAAGCTGCTATAGGAAAGGTTAATCCTACAAACTGAGATGTAACTGAGAGCCAGTGTGGTGTAGTGGTTAAGAGCATGGGATTGGGACTATCTGGGTTCTAGTCCCCGCTCAGCCATGGAGCCAATTGGGTGATTTTGGGCCATCACAGACTCTCAGCCCAACCTACCTCACAGGGTTGTTGTTGTGGGGATAAGATGGAGGAAGAGATGTAAGCTGCCTTGAGCCCTTTATAGGAAAAAGGCAGGAGATAAATGGAAAAATAAATAAATTTTAAAAATGCCTAGTGTATTTCTTGATGCACTTTCCCAGGAATACTTTATGCAGTAATTTTCTGAGACATCACACTCCACTGAAGTATGATTCACAGCTTTAATGCTTTGCCCTGAGGAAGCTGTATACACAAATGTGGTGAGACTTGCATTTCTGAGCATCCCATAACTTCTGACTAAAATATTTTCTATTGACTGGTCATATAGTACTGCTCCTTCCTCCCCCACCCGAAAAATTAGCTTTTGACTCAGTGGACCCCAGCCTCTATGACTGTATTTACTGTCTTGGATGGGAAGCTCATTGGCTTGACTGACCCCACTACCAGGTTCACAGCTTGCCATTTCATCAACAGTGATCCTTTTCTCAGATCTGGCTCCTCAGAAAGACTTACATTTTTGCTGTGTTCAAAGCTGGGCTGATCTGCTGCAAGTTCCCCAATTAACAGTGGCTTCATGTACTTTTTCACTAGATTCTTGTCCAGGTGGAATGCAGTGAAGGGATCCTGTGAAACCCAAGGACAAGGTAAGGCATCGCACAGCTGTCTCCACCTGAAGTACAATGCTGTGGCATAACTATTAAAAAGAAAGAAATGGAGAAGTGGGGGGTGGGGGGGTGGCCCTGTGGCCTTTCCTCCTTCAATGGAGAAGATAAAACAAAAAACGGGACATGTTGCAAAATACTGTCCTATCCAAAAATGGTGATAAGTGTGCCAATTTTCCTAGAATTATGAAAGCATTTCAATACAAAAATCAAATTCAATACATGTGTCATTTCTCGGCTTTCTCTTATGGTGCAATCCTATATATACTTAGACTAAGAAAGATCCTACCACTTCCAGCCTGGCTGGCAGGAAGGATGCTGGGAGCCCCCTTTCTGCCTCAACTTGTGTGGGATTGTGTTCTCAGGCAGCCATCTGGGATGCAGGGCATCTGATGGGGGCCACGCACGCAGCCCAATATCCCATCCTCAGTTTAGGTCTCCCCGTGTTACACATGCACACTTCAGGTTTCCCTAAACTCTGCAGACAGTGATTTATATATGTATAAGGGGCAGTTGGTCCTTAGACTAGTTCCCAGCTCCAACATCGGTTTCCTTGGTTTCTCGCCTTTATTTTGATCTGAACAATTCTATTCTGATGACATTGCAGCAGACAAGACCTCTCAGTCCTGAGTATGATGATTCTGTCTGGCTTCTGGGTGCCGCAGTGGAAACATATTTGAATTTCTCCCAGGATACTTGGTCAGTCTTTGTTTGAAAATAGCCACCTTATAGTCATCATATTCTTCCTGCAAATGCTGGAACACAGGCATACAGTTGCCTAACACAAGGAGCTGGGCGCCTGGAAGCACTCTTAGATGCAGTCCCTAAGGTGATGGTGTCCATCCGATGGCGTATGAGCTGACTTCCGCACACCCATTACATCCCCACCCCCACCCTCACCCTTTGCCATCTATCTAGGATATCCAGCGAAACTGACAAGGTTATTAACATTATTAGCATATTATCAAGGCTTTTCAGCAGTGATGTCAGGTTCACCAGAAAGTGGGACTGAGGGATGAATGGTAAAAGACTGCTAGCCACAGATCCTCATGATCATAGAAAAGCAGGGGTTGGGTAAGAGAGTCCCACCAGTCCTGTGAATAGTGGCCAAGACAGAGCTCAGTCCCAGAGAAGTTAAAATGTAGAATACCATTCCTAATGTGTAAGATTGTATGGGAAGGGTTTCATGTAGGATTAAAAATTCACTTCAGATAAAACTTATCTGTTCGCAGGACAAGCAAGATGCAGTGCAACCCCATCACATGCATTTCTGCAAAGCTATTTGCACATGGATAACGATAGCATTTAAAATGTGAATTTCTGTCTTTCAGACATATGCACCAATGGCAGGAAAGATCTCAAGAGCTCTTTCACGTGTGGCATTTGTGAAATACTTTTTATTTCAGACTCTGCTCTTCAACTCCCAGACAACTCTAATTATATCACACAGATCTCTGTCTCTCTCCTCTTCCATCCCTACTTGAATGGCTTAAGGAACCCAGAAAGAATGATTTCTCTTGGGCATGCCTATCCCAAGATTGTACTGCAAACATATTTTACCCAAACAATCTCTAATGAACTTTTCTGTCATCATTTCCTGCAAACTGGTAGGCACATGCTGAGTGCCACCACATGATGTTGGACGGCGCTAGCTGAACTGGCTTGCAGCCAGGACGCCGTTTTAAAATGCAACTGATTTAGCTTCTTCCACCTCCACTCAATGTACCTCATCGGGCGGGGGGGGGGGGAGCAAGCGTCCTCTCTGCCAAAGCTTATCTGAATTTGGAATGGGAGAGAGTGGTTCTTTCCTCTGCGCTTTCTTATTGGAAGGGGAAAAGGGGGAGGTTCATAGGCAGAACTGTAGATGGTGGTACCACAAGTTTCAACCAATCGTCACAATGGTGGTTCTAAACCTGGCAATAATGCTAAAAAGGAGAGGAGGGAGGTGACTAAGCGAGAGCTTAGAGTGCATGCAATTACAATACTGAGCAAGGCAGCTGAACAAAAACCAGAAACTGCTATTTAACGTTTTTTTCCAGATTTGCCTGGCAAAATGCAATTAAAAAAAAAAAGAATGATTTCGGTTCATTCCTTAGATAAGCAGTATTTTGGCTTTATTCGGCTTTGTTTCTGTTTTCACCAGTTAAGTGTTATGTATCTGGCATGCCCGCAGGGCTGCTAAATCCAGGCTGAAATGTATGGCTCTAAGAGTGATTTATTTACGAGCCAGTTCACAGAATCACAAACGATGCATATTTTGCCAAGCACATTTTTACGTCTGGAGAGCGCTACATGCATAACGAAGCAGACAACAGAACCATTCATCCACAAACACAGATTGCGATTTTGCACACAGCCACTTATCTTTCCAAACAGTCCAGGGTGGCTGCGTGGATGATTGTAACAGAAGGTCATGCAGACCGACCGGCTAAGACAGCAGGTTTCCCGTATGCACACGAATATCCAGTTCCATAAATGCCCAGCCACATAAATGATACACTGCCGGGCCCTCAGTAATGACAGCATAAGGAATTCAACAGACAGAAGCTTGAATTAGGACCTGAGTTCAGATTTCCCCATTGAAATGAATTCCTATTTTGGGTTCCAGCACGAATATACAAAGCTGCCTTATGCTGAGCCAAGCTACAGGTCACTCTCACCCAGTGCTATTGACACAGGAGTCTATCCAAGTCCTACCTGGAAGCGCTGGGAACGGAACGCAGGATCTTTGCATTCCAAGCAGGTGGCTGACCAGTGGACTGCAGCCCCTGCCCAAGACAGGGCTCAGCCATGACTGCAATGACAGACGGGTTTCAAAGCCAGATCAGAATTTTCCCAGCTTCGGTTCGCAAAGGCAAAATGGAAATAACAGCAATCAACCTGACAAGGTGATTGAGAGGATACGAGAGAAGACATATCCAGCTTGAGACTTACTGTCTCAGCATGAACACACAGATTCAGAGAACTAGGTCCCAACAGGACTTTGTTGGGGTGCGGGGAGAGAGAGGAGAGAGGAGCCCTTTCAGGAAGGAGCAGTTTGGGATCGAGAGCTGGGAGGGGGAGATGGTGCTTAACCCTCTCTCCACCCGCTGCTTCTCCACTCTGGATCAGCCCCTCAAACTGCCTCTTTCCCATGAAGGTACAAAGACATGAACAGGCACATGGAATCTCTCTTTTTGGAAGTGGGGAGTACCTTGAAAGGCCTTCTGGAATGGCAAAACAGTGGATGGGAAAGAAGAAGGATAAGCATCCTCTCCCCCAACACAGTTTCATTTCAGGCTGTGCTCCCCACCGAAAGAGTCAATGTTTCAGGGATGGCTATCTGGGTTGGAGTACATGACTCCATGTATCCATTTTGCCTAGATCACATTTCCACATGTAGGTAACAAGTAACATGAGTTTATGGGGTAACCCCAGCATGACATTTTAAAAAGGCTGTCAATTATAATTAAACAATCAATTTAACAGCAAGCTCCATTTCTTCCAGCCCCATCACATTTTGCTACAATTTCGACTTATAGCCACATGAGCCGCATATATAACAGAGATGCTATTGCGCACTAGAAGCACTCCTTTATCTTAGCAGGTACAATGATACCCACACTACATAGTCACTTACAGAACAATCCTATACACATCTGCTAGGTAGTTAGTCCAAATTAGTTCAATGATTTACCTCCTGGTAAATCAACACAGTAGGACACCCTAAATGTGTGCAATTTTATTAGCAGGAATGGAAGGCAAATTAATTAATTTAATTAAAACAATCATTTTAATTATTACTGCTGATTAAACCATTATTGCAACATCTGGTGACTCGCTGGGGGTTATCTTTTCAGTCCCAGGCAAACATGTATTTATTCACCAGACATTTTAAGAATTGCTGAATTAATATTTTATGTTCGTAAGAGATTTTAATGATTGTTTCTAACAATCCTGTGCCCGAGCTAATCTTACTGACTGTTGTAGTTAGTTACCTGTTAGAGTGTCCTGTATTTTACTGTACAAATTTTATGTTCAGTTTCTTTTTCTTGTTATATAGTTGTTCTGGATGATACACCACCCAGAGAGCCCTGCAGGGCTATGGAAGTGATATATACATGTAAAAATAAATAAAATACATATGGCATATATGAAGGCAAATAAGATGTTGCACAAATAAAATGTAAACACATACTACATATCAGTAGTAAGACGTAGCTAGGCAAGTGAGCCCACACATAATATGGTTCAGGATTTTAATTTCAACATCTTAACTATAACACTGCATCCTAGTAAGCGGTCCTTGCCAAGACAAAGAGGGAAAGAGTAACAGTTCACACTACCTGCTTTAAACAGATAGAGATGGAACTTGTATTGCTTGAGAACAATGCAGTCTTATAGATGATAAAGACACAAAGCAATGCATTCACAGTAAAATTGATTGTTTTTGTGCAAAGTATGAAGAAAACTGTGACCCACCATTCTAACATTGATGAAGCATTTCCTCAAAAAAGAACTAATTTGTTGGCTTCAACCAACCTAATCCATATTGGCCCTATTCCTAAACCACACAGCTACACAGAGAGGCTATTCACCTCTCTAGCTGCACAATGACATGTATTCCTTCTATGTAAGCCTGGGGCTTGCAGGTACTGGTGAAGGAATACTATAGAGAATTCTTAGCACCTGACCAAACTATCATTTCCAGGAATGTTTAATGGAACATGCACCGCAAGCATCATAAAATCAAAGTCTGTGATGTATACATGCCCATATTTCTCAGCACTTTACCAGCTCTCTTGGCTATTCTAATGCTATATAGTTCCTTCACAATGAATGCCACTTCTCAAAGTACCAGCGTGTGGCTCTGGGATTACTGGGGTATTGAGCATAGCATATCCCCTTTACTAAAGTGGAGCTGGTAAATCATCCAAACTGATCATTCTCTTATGCAGTCCTACGGCATCCAGCGTGCTGGCTGGGGCAGGCTGACATTAGAGGCCTTTTCTGCACAGAGCCTGCACAGGACTGTGCTTCCAGAGTGTATCCACACTTCTTGGAACTAGCCCTGCAAAATAAAGCATACAAATATGTATCCCAAGAGGTGTAATTCAGCATATGGGAAACAGAGGAAAGGGTGAGAATGGAAAGCATGGGAAAAATACAAAAGGCAACAATTAACCTGTATTATAACTGATTACTGGGACCATGTAGTCGAACAGCAATTATAGAACAAGCTTCCCTGGAGAGTGGGGGCAGGGAACCACTGGAAGGGGGTGTAACATTTCCTGCAAGGGACAAGACCCTGAAGTAGTTGAAGATTTCTTCTCTTCACTAGATAAGACCTGTGGGGGCAGATAAGACCTAGCAAAGGAACTGCACAGAGTCCTACTGGATTTGTCAAAGGGGTGGGGGGGGGGCGCTCCTTGTAGTAATATTTCTTTGTGCAAAACCAAAGATGCCTCTGTTGCGCTCTCCCCCTTTTTAACGCAGGTCGCTTTCAGGGATGCAACAAGTTCAAGCAACTTGAAAGGCTTCTTCATTGCAGGAAGCCTCTCTGAACAGGGGCAGAGGCCTGCCACACTACAAGCCTACCGACCTGCATGTGAATCACAGCAGTTGCAGGTAAGCATCTGGTCCATTCTACGCACCTCTAATTTAAAGGGGCATTCAGCTACTGTTGAACCATATTCCAGGATCTAGGCTTTCTGCTCTTCCACATTTTCTGCTCTCTGACCCAAAGCAAGTCCTCAATTCCACACATTTATTAGTAACACTTACATACACTGTTTAAATCTTTAGACAGTTATATGCATAGATATTCCTTATTCTTATACAGAGTTTTCCATCTTCTTATCCATTTCATCTTCTCCTAAATATTCTATACAGTCAAGAGAATCTTGTCTGGCACAAGCTTTTGTGGCTTAGAGTCCACTTCATAAGCTGCATCTACTCCACAAAAGCTTAAGCCATATTGAAATGCCCTGTTCTTTCAAGTGCCACAAGAGGATATTTTTTTCTTTTTCTTTTTGGCTGCAACAACCAACAGAGCTATCCCAGTCAAGGATAGTTAGGGAACGCGTTCATACAGCCAGGAAAGTGAGCACTCCTTGATCGAGGCAGTGGTAGCCAGAGGTCAACTTTATTCAAAATACAGTATTTCCAAACATGTGCAGAGTGCTTTTTCTGTCACCGCTCAGCAATGCCAGCCAACTCCTGCACACCTTGGGGCCAGGAGACAAAATAAGACTCCATCCTGGCCACTTCTCTCTTTTGGTTATCAATTATTAGCAGAACTCCAGTCCAATCAGTATAATGTACATCCTACCCACTAGGAAGGTGCTGAGCAATTCCCCCATCTCATGAGGAACCGCGACCCGGCTGCATGGACCCGGCCAACATAGCTATCTAAGGTGCCATCCTGTGACAGGTGCAGCGATGGTGGAATTCCGTAGCTTTAGCTGGAAAGCTCCGCGAGACCCCCTGGGCAGGCTTGGGCTTACTTCCGAGCAAACATGCTTAGGCTCGGGCGCAGCCACAAGTCATTCATTCAGCCTTGGCTCCTAGGAAGGCCGCCCTCCCGCGCGCCCCCATCCGGCGCTGCCCGCTGCACGGGGGGTCCCTCCGCGCCTCCCGGCAAGGCGCGCGCAGCCCGCGGGAAGGGTAACACGCAGGGCCCCTGCCCGCACCGGCCCGAGCGCCCTCGCCCGCCTCCGCCGCTCACCGTGGCGTCCTGCCCGGCATAGTGGCTGATGACGCGGGAGCCCCCCGGGTGCCTCTTGTGGAACTGGCTGATGTCGTAGACTTTCCGGTCGATCACCAGCCACCGCTCCGGCGCCCGGCCCGAGCGGGGCTTGATCTCGTCCCAGGTGAAGCGCCGCGGAGGGCGCGCCGAGCCCTCGGGGGGCACCTCCGTCTCCGCCATGCGTGGCAGCGGCTCGCCGCGGAGGCTCTGCCCATTAACGCTACCGCTCGCCCGCCGGGCTCCGCGCCGCCCAGACGCGCCGCGGCCCCGCCCCGCCGATTGGAAGGAGCCGGCGTGCGGGCCGGGCATGGGCCAGTCCCCGCCGCGCATTGGGCGCCCGGCTCTTCCATCAAGCCCCTCGGGCCGGCAGAGTCGCCGAGCGCAAGCCCATTGGCTCCCGCCGTGGCGGCGCCTCGGCATCTCTCGCAAGGCCCGCCTTCGCCGAGGGGCTTTGGAAGATCCCGTCCGTGCGAGCGGACCGCTCGCTACCGCCTGGGAGGAAAGCGTGCCGGAAGTCACCTTGTTAGGGATAGCGCGCGATCTTAAGATGGTGGCCATCAGTGATGAGGAGGCTGCACTGACCACTGCACCCGCACAAAAGATTCATTGTGTACGAAGTAGCACGAGCCCGTGGCACTCAGTCTGGGGCCACAGATCCCACATTTTGGGTGCTTCGCAGCAAGGCTTTTATAGTGCGATCCACCTGCTGCATTCAGGGAGCTTAATGCTGTCCTATCTTTGTCTACCACCTCGTCCCTCTCTTCTAACCAGAAAAAAAAGGAAGAATTTATGGAATGAATTTTGATAGTTGGCACTAGGAACCATTTTGCCCAATTTGGGGTCAAGGAGGGTCAAACTGAGCAGAAAAGATCCATAACGGTTTTAAATAAACCATTTGTTTGGGTGAGATGGCATCACTGAAAAGATGCAAAAGAGACAATGTATGTAACAATATGTATGTACAATATGTAAACTATACGTTGAAAAATACTATTTGGTTTGGTTTGGGGGGTGGGGAGTGTGTTAGATTTTACTTACTTTCCATAAAGACTGAGATTTAGTCTGCCTTCAGCAAATTATTTTCTTCGAGTACACTGCTATCAGAAATTGATTAGTTAAGACATTGTAACTAATCATAAAAGACATTGTCCCCATTGCCGAGTTGTATCCAAAGCTGTGATTCCAGTGATGGAAGCAGTTCCATCAGCTGAATCAGCAGAGTAGAAGAGTGTCACTTATTTAACCTGTATTCTTTTGTGTATTTATTTTATGTATTTATTATATTTCTACCCTTCCCATCAGCCCAAAGACTCACAGAGTAGTTTACAAAATCAAAATTACAATAATTAATAAAATGCATGATAAAATCACAAGAATGCAATTAGTATAATAATACAATAGGACAACAATACAATACTCCTGCCTCGCCACTGCAGCTAAAACAATAGTCTCAAAATGTGCCTGGGGAGTTAGAAGGTCCAGGACTTTGTAATATAGGAGATGCATTTAGAAGGCTTCTGTTGGAAAGTCATCAAAGCAAAAGGTTTGATGTTGTCATGTATGCTAGGCTCTTACAATGCAAAACAATGATCCACAGTAGAAGAAAATTGTGCTTGCCAGGATTCTGCCACTTTACCCTAAATAATGGCCTTCCCCTCCCAGGGCAGAAACTGCTATTATTTATTTATTTATTTATTTATTTATTTAAGCAACTTATATGCCGCCCCATCGCATGAGCCTCGGGGCGGCTTACAATCATTAAAATCCCATATAAAATCCCATATAAAATACAAAAAAATTCAAATAAATAAAATACAAAAAAATAAAATAGAATAGAATATATGTTACATGGTCACCTTTGCTTTGAAGGTGAAAAACGACTGTGTTTCCCTTTACTTCTCTCCCTAACAAGGGTTCTTCATGTTTCACTTAAGGCTTAAGAGCTGATGAATGGTTAGATTTTATATTCTCAAAATGAGAAATCAGCTGCTGCAACTGTTGCTTTTTGCAGCCTTCCCAGGTGTAACACCAACTTATGTGGCATCTGGGAGAGTCTAATCCAGCCAAGGTCTGATCTACATGCTTATTGACATTGTAATCCTGGCTCCCTGGTGCATTACGCAATGTATGCCCTGGACTGTCTGCCTCATGCAATTTCTCCCTCAATATTATATCGTTTTCCAAAGCATTTTAATGATGGTTTTTGTGGTACCTGCAGTTATTATGCACTACATAGATGTGTGCTCCAACCAATCACTGTTGCCCATAAGAGTGGCTTTAAAATTTACCTACCCACCACTGACATTCAGTTTCTCTTGCTCTTCTTGCTCTTCTTTTCACTTGCTCTTTCCTTGCTCTGATTTTAATGGCATCTGTGAACAGGACATCCCATCCCAGCTCTCTTCCTTTCTCACTTGCCCTTTCATGGCTGTCTGCACACACACCCGTTTTGTTTAACATCCAATCTGATGAAGAGTTCTGGAGAATTCAGATGGTTGCTCCATATTCTGTTACATTATTAGTAACATCCAATCTGATGAAGAGTTCTGGAGAATTCAGATGGTTGCTCCATATTCTGTTACATTTTTAGTGCTGACCCCTGTAATCACAGCATTGCCCTATTATGGATTTGGGTATTTTTTACTTCAGCAACCAAATGAGTGGGGGCACTCAGTAACCAGCAGCCACCAACCTTTAGGCAACCATTTTTGACCCAGCAATGCCCACTAAGAAAACAAGGGTATGCTAAAGATGAAATAAAGCGCTGCTTATTTGGCATGTACAGAATAATGAGCCAATTGTGGAGGAAAAGGTTCTCTTTGATTGCCATAATAGACTTCCTAACGATCTCACAGGATTGTTAAGATAAAATGGAGAGGATGAAGAGGTTTATGTAAGCCACTTTGGTTCATTGCCGGAAAAAAGACAGGAGGAGGGAGACATGGACAAAGGAAAGCGCAATGGCCACTCTGGTAGAGGGGGATGCAGCCCAGACATTTTCTGTTAGTAGTTGGGCGAGCAGTAAGTTGGTGACTGTAATGAGAAATCACAGAACTATCTGTACTTAAGGCAGTTTGCTACTTAGTAAGCAAGGTCCCAAGGGCTGGATGAAGAAAAGAAACTTCAGGTATCAAATCAGTTGCTCTGGAGTTTTATGGAGGATTATGTTTTGCAAACCGCATAAAAAAAAACCACACATTTGAAGCCTGCAGGGAGGATATATCATTTAAATCATTTACAGTATATCCAATGTGGCTGCCTAAAACCCTCTAAACCTGGAGGATTACAAGCATCCAATGGAAGGCAGGAGGATCCACCTCGGTGCCTCCTTCATCCTCCCATTATTGGTTTCACCTGTCTAAATATCTTACCGCTCCTCACAAAGAGGAGTGACTGAGACTGTGCTGGGATTTCTCATATCCAGGCAGCGCTTTGCCCCTCTCCTCCCAACCCCTGGGAACACCCCCCTCCCGCTTGCTCCAGAATCGCTCATCTGTCTTCAGAGCTGCAAATCTTGCAGAAGGAGCCATACTGGTGGTGAGGGCAGAGGGAGTGCTCTCCAAATTCGGAGCCTCTGCTCCATCCTTGGAGTGCTTTTCCAAAGTTACAGCTGGGGCACCACATTTATGGTTTCTGACTGAAACCAGCCAGAACACCCTGATTAGATTTGACATAATGGCAGATTCTTTCACACTTAATACTCACAAGATCGCCAAGGACAAGAATAAGGTCATTGTTATGAGAGCTTCATAAGAAGAAAAAAGCAGCTGCTATTATACGCTCTCTCTCATCCCACGTCCTGCATCTTTATGCATAGTGAGTTCATTCCTGGTGAAAGGGAACTAACAGAAACATATCAGAAAGGCCACGCAATAAACTGTTGTCCCAGCAGAATTTCTGGGTCCCGCTTTGCCTGACTTGCTTTTCGTCCTTTTGCTCCTCTCCTCTCGGTTTCCACATCAACACCTTCATTGATATGACAAAATATACCAGCCGGTGCTTGCAGATGCAAAGCACATTTTCAGAGCAATCTCACAGTGAATGGGTGTTACAGAAAATGTACATTTTGTATTATGATCCTGTAAGAAACTTAAGTTCCTAGAAATATAATTAGATCTGTATAATGGAGCAAGATACAAACTTCAGCCCAGGCAGGCCAATATCCATGCATGTATGCATTTGAAAGTGGTCTCTAAAGTGCCATCAGTTCAAATGTTAAAGGTGTTAGAAGACCCTCAGACCATTGCATTACAGGAGGTGGGTATTTATTCTTTCAGTATTGCAATATTAGTCTTTTAGGTGTCAAAAGCCAATGGGAGATCTACTTATGCTGATGTGTTAACTTATTTCAAATATTCATCCAAAAAGCTGAAAATACTCCCCCTCCCTCTCATTTATTCTCTCTCTCTCTCTCTCTCTCTCTCTCTCTCTCTATATATATATATATATATATATATATATATAATGCCTGTGTTTAATAAATCTGATATTGGCACACATCAGGGGTGAGAACAGAGCACCAGCTGAATGCAACTCAGAATGAGTTGTAAACCATCCTGAGATGCCAGTAGATGGATGGTCTAAAAAAGCTATAGATAGATAGATAGGATGGATCCTGATGATGCATGAAGGTTTTCTCAGCAATAGAGATTATAATGACATCTTCCTCAAATAATCCATTCACCCACATTACTTTGACTTTCCCTAGCTTCATGTCTTCCAGATGCTTTGTCCAACTGAGCCCTTTCTTCCTTGATTGGTGGAGCAGTTGTCAAACAACCAATCTCTTTACTTTTTTATTTATTAATGTACTTCATTTTTATACCACCCAATAGCCAAGGCTCTCTGGGAAGTTAACAAAAGTATAAAAAGACACATATACACAATTAATTTAAAAGAACAAAACCATAACAGCAATTGCTGTTGGGACCAGGATACCTGAAGGAGCGCCTCTTTCCTTACATGTCCTCACGCCCCTTAAGATCTGTGGGAGAGGCTTTGCTCCGGGAGCCCTCTTTAAAGGGGATAAAAAGAACTACTACCAGGAGCAGGGCCTTCTCTGCGGTGGAGCTCAGATTATGGAATGCACTCCCTGGAGAGGTGTGCCTGGCACAGAGTTTATATTCTTTTTGGCGCCAGGTTAAAACCTTTTTATTTAATGGCTATTTTAAAAATTAATTTTATT